ATTTCAAAATCTATTTTTATATCTATTTATAAAATTTTAAATTTCAGAAATGGTTAAAATTAAGTAGATCTATAGACAAATGAAAATCTTGAAAATGGACGGTATAGATAATATGTTATAAAATACAGCATTTCTGAGATTTAAAATCTTTTTTATTTTTCATGGTCATCCATCTCGATGTCGAGATGATCAATAGAAGGGTTTTTCAACATTAAAACTACCTTTTCCGATGGATTTTTGAGGTGCATCCGTAGCTCTACATTATAAGGTTGCAACCTTATATAAATTTTTTTAAAAATAAAATAGTGTAAATACGTGATATTTTGATTGGGGCTATCTCAACCGTCTATTCAGAATGGACGGTTGGATAAGGGGGAGTATATAAATTTTATGTAGTAGGGAAAGCACATAAAACTTGGCCATGACCTTTTTATACCAAAGATAAATATTCTTATTACATACTTGCCTTTTGGAAATTTAGAGGGTTCAACCTCCACTGCATTTTTTGTGGTTGAAAAGTTTTAGGGGCTTCTCAATGAAATCATAGAGGTCTCTCTCTCTCTCTCTCTCTCTCTCAAATACACACATATGCATACACATTAAAATAAAATCATGAATATGAGGTTCGGAATGGGTAGTTCCGAAATATTATGTTCGAAAAGGCCCTTTACCCACAATTTCCTTGACCATCATCACCAGACTCTCAAAAACACACATACTTCGAAGCCATGATAAGAAAGTAGCTAATGAGGTAAATGACAGTACCCTAACTAAGCAATCATGGAAGTGCATCCTCAGTAACTTTGCTGGTAAACCTGAATTACCAGAACTTGATAATTTCTCCCATATGAAGTCCCACACAATTCTCTCAGCCTGAGGGCAACTTTTCTCATAGAATTTATTCCTCAACCCACGCTCACTTTTCTCACAAAAATCATCCCCTCTTTTCTCACCAAAATCATCCCCTCTTTCCTCAAATCTTCTCTCTTTGAACCTTCCCTCAAAGGAGAGGCGGAGAATATGAATGAGAAAGACTGTGGTGCCTTTCATCTTCAAATCAAATTTCTCACACATTGTGCACATCCATTTGCCACTATTTGTATGCCCTAAACCTTTAGGATATAATTCCCACTTCCAATGAAAGGAACTAATGAAGGTTCCCTTGAACTACAATCATGCGAATCCTCAGCCATTCTTGGCTATGGTCAATGGCTGCGATATGCCATCTCCTCACTCGTCCCACAATCTATCATTCTACTTGCAAAAGATAAGTTATAAAATGCAAGTTAAACAATTCGGAACTCTATATAGGAGTAAGTTTGGAAGGATATCTGTCTAGAGCATACATAGTCCGGTCCCATAGGAGCACCTTGTATACTTGCTCTCTTGGGCGAGCGAAGTAATCACCAAACTACTGGACATTCATGTCTTAAAATACTCTAAATTAAGATTTAAGAGCATGCATATGCACCACGCGTTTACAAATACGTGTCTTGAAATTAATAGTCATAAATAAAGCACACTACCCTTGATTTTTATCTATTTTTGGGGAGTGATTTCATGCATGCAACTGTTTTATAGTAATGTACCGTAAAGTCTTCAACATTTTTAGCCCTTGAATTGTAATACAAAACTTTTTATGTAGGGGCGTTTTTTATCATTTAAAAGGGTAGAATGTATATTTCTATAAGAAAATAGTTGTATTATATTAGTAGTTAAAAAACAACGAATGCATCTTGTGGGTGATGTCACACACCACGTCGGAGATGTCATTGTCTACTATTATTAAAAAATGCTTTTGTTTATATTAGGAACTTTACTTTTGATTAATTACTTAAAATACTCATAGACAAAAAGTTATTACACTATAGGATAAGGGTATCTGAGTGTTAAAAAATGTTGAGGATTTTAAGGGTATATACCACCAAGTGGTATAGCCTAACAAAACCCAATAATGAAATGATCTTCAATATCCATGTTATGACTATTTGTTTGATCCTAATTTTTAAAGAGTAATGATCCCATGAGACCCTCCCACACCCATGTGTGTAGGATCCCAAATGATCACCATTAAATTCAGCACAGATCTCTAAAAAAAATATCACATGGGTGTGAGACTTGACTTTTCTAGAGATCTGTGTCAAATTTAATGGTGATCCTTTGGGGTTCTACACGCATGGGTGTGGGAGGGTCTCACAAGGTCATTTCCCATTTTTAAATATACATTCTTTTCATTCAAATGAACAATCACAAAAGGGAAAATTTGGAAACACACACACCTTAGAAATTGATTTTCTAGCTCAATTAATATACGCTATCTATTTTGGTAAGATGATTAGATCTAGGCTTTAGAAGGATTGTTCTATTTCCAAATTGTTTGGATGGCTTTATTATGATTAAATGAACAATATTTTAAAAAATTGATTTTGAGTTTGTAAAGGCTTAGATCTTGAAATTCACCATATAAATGGGCTAGATTTATTGTTGCAGGGGACTCATTGTACCATATATATATATAGGGTGCAAATTGAGTTGTAGTTTTTTGAGGATTGATTATTCGGATAAAGGGAGGGCGTGCGCAAGATTTGGGGTCATACAAATACTATAAATATAATTATTTAGAAGTGAGATTTCATTATATTCTAATAACATAGTGACATGAAATCACTCCTCTCGCTTCGAGTAAAAAGATAAATTTGGTGAACTTTAGGTAAAGCTTGGGATAGCACTATTTTGTCCATGTTTTAAAACTCGGATCGGGTGGTCTAATTGGCCACTAGATGGATGGATTGTCAATTCGAGGGGAATCTGATTGATTCTCTTGTTTGGAAACTAGTAAAAAAAAATATACTGTGGATTTGAAAAAATTTAAAAAAATAAAAAATAAAATAGGTGTGATCCAGGCAAATTTTTGTGACAAAATCGCTTAGTTCTCCAAGTGACTCGCCCGTTTCTTTAGTTGCACCCGTAGTGTAGACCGTAATGAACTGTTACCATCCATTCTGAATTTCTGATCCAATGATGATTTCCGATCCGGACGAGCCAACTTTTAAGTATTTACAGCGATGAACGCGCCGCTATTTGCCAACCGCTTTTACGAATGGCAAGGTATAAAAGAACCACTTCGTTAGTAGTTTACATGGGATGGGGAAAAAACCTCATGTAGCGTTACAAAAATGTGAAGGGATGGGAAGAAACCTCATGCAGCGTTACAAAAATAGGAAAAGAGTGATTCATGCACGGATCTTAAAATTTTAGGTCAAATGCAAAAATGTTTCGCTTATAGGCGAAAAGTACAAAAGAATGTCGATCAACACATTTTTATTTTTATTTTTTCTAAACTTGCCTTGAGATCAACTCAAATTTTTGTTTTTTTTTATATTTTTTAGTTTTTTCATTAGTAGGGCAGTGCCGCAAGATTGAATGCACTACCCTACTAAAAAAAAACTAAAAACAAAAATCAAAATTCAGATTGATCGAGGAGCAATTTTGAAAAAACTAAAAAAAAAGAGAGTCGATATTTTTTTTTGTAATTTTCGCCTATAAATGGAGTATTTGATATTTTATCTAAAATTTTAAGGTCCTTACGTAAATCACTCAAAAGGAAAGAAACATGATGAGACATTTTATTTTATATTGTATTATTTAAAATGAGAAAGTAATGGGAAATCGAAGCCAATTAAACATGTGTAACACATTATTTGGACAATTTATTTTCAAGATTTTCACGTATTTATCGATCTACTTGATTTGAGCCATTTTTAAACTTTAAAATATTCTAATTAGAGATGAGAATAGATTAAGGGACCATCCTAAAAACCTTGGACACCAAAATTACATCTTATGACAAAGTTTGGAGGTGCACCTTACTTTGATTGTTTAGAGTTGCTGCAAACCTCACCCATGAGGAATAAATACACTGTACCGGGCCAGAGAAGAAGAGAGAGAAAGGATGATTGGAATTCTGCATGCATATATTCATCCACGTACAACGTACATGATTGATCCGAAGAGTATGCTCAGATCCATGCAATTAATCCATTTTCCCTCAGAAAAAAGACCCACATTTTATTATCAAGCATAAATTGCCTTAATCAGACAAGAACACCACAACACCTAAAATCATTTCTAAAAGAACCAACTCAAGGAACTAATACCATTTCTAAAAGAACCAACTCTAGGAACTAAAATCATTTCTAAAAGAACAAACTCTAGGAATTTATTTTACTGCATATCTTCCTAATCTCTCCTACATTTCCTGTGAGCACACCAATGTCCCCCATCTTCTTCATCGACTTCTTGAACTCAGTAAAGAAGTCATTCGAATTTTGCAATTCATTCACCAATTTTCGCGTTACTCTCGACGTCAAAAGTGCAGCATCGGATGTGAAGAGGCCCTTATTTTGCTTGAGGATTTTGAAGTAATCGTTGTCAAAGGAGAGAGAGCTCTTTGGGTCCATTTCAACCGTGATGTTTGGGTTGGGTGGCGATGGGCACTTCGTTTTGAGGAAGGCGACGTATGTGGAGTTCATTGAAGGGTCCGAGTCGCCCTTTCCTGTGAAGTTGTAGAGCCTGTTGTTGATGATGGCACAGTGTCCAACTCCTATAGTGTGGCCTCCTGTGTTTAATGATAAAGGGGATTTAAATTTAACAGATTATGTATGAGAATGAATAATTTAATATTTTATCTATGTTTTTACTTAATTTCAAATTATCCATTAAAAATACATGGTCTTGAGTTGGAATAGTTGCAAACGGGCAAAATGTTAAATGCTTAATCTCCAATTGTTGTTTGGATAAATTTCACAAAAGCAAGGGCTAAAAGTAGAATGTATAATGTACTCTCGTAGAATGTATAATGTACTCTCGTAGTAGTGCAACATACATTATTCCCTTTAAGTAGAGAAACAATAGCGTAATAATAATCAAAATTTAAAATATAAAATCAGTTTACCATTGGTACAAAGATGTCATAATTATCTTTGACCATCAAATGTAAAATTAGGGATCTAGGATTATGTTTCATCTCCAGATTTTTTTTTTTTTTTTTAAGCTATGTGATATAACTCGGGGTATGTCCAATCTCTCATCTTTAGCTTGTTATAGGTGATTGCGACATTCATGTATCCAAACCAGTGTTCTAAATAT